ATAAGGCTGGGTCTTATTTTTTTTTGAGCCCCCCAAAAATGGCTAGGCCGTCTTTTCGGGGGTGACTTAATTCCCCCCCCCCTTTGCATCTTCGGGCGGGCAGCGACGGCTTGGATGTTGACCTCGGTGTTGGTGGGGCACTTCATATCGGGGTCAACGCAGTCAGCACCATATCCGGGTGTGCAACAAAAGTACTTCCTAATGACAACCCCCCCCCCATTCCCCACATTTTGCATGTTTTAATATAGGCCTTAATTTGGGGGGAGGGGCTTAATTTCATTTCATGCCTATAAAACATGCTGGGACTTCCTATTGGGGGAGGCCGTATTGTTGGAGAAACAGGGTACTAGTAAGCCAGGACCTGGTGTACTAACCATCTAGAGGCCCACAGGAAATGTGGAAATTTCCTGTCTAGTGGAAATTCCAGATCGACGTAGGAGATAAGGGCCTTTGCATCTTTCTGCTTCGTTCTGTCCCTGTGCCAAATTCTACCCCCACCCCAGGTTTTGGGAAGGCAGTAGAGTAGAAATTCCAGCTGCAAAGAGTTGGACTCTACAGGTTGTCCACCGTTCACTTAGTGACTGGAGTTACGACAGCACTGAAAAAAGTGACTTACGACTGTTTGTTTTTTTTTTTTTAAAAAAACAAACTTCCGACTCTTACAGCATCTCCACACCGGTCATGTGATCAAAATTTGGATGCTTGGCAACTGATTCATCTTTATGACGGTTGCTGTGTGTCCCGAGGTTCATGGGATCCCCTTTTGACAAGCCAAATCAACGGGGAAGCCAGGCTGACTTAACAACCACATTACTAATTAACACAGCAGTGATCCATTTAACAATTGTGGCAAGAAAGATTGTAAAACGGGAGAAAGTTCACTGAACGAACATCTCACTTACCAACAGAAATTCTTGGGCTCAACTGTGGTCGTAAGTCGAGGACTACATGTATTACCTGCTAAAACCTCCCTTCTACAGTGAGAAAAACTGGATTATGACTGAATGTCTATGGAGATTCTCAGTCATCCAGGTTCTGGTTGTCCCAAAGGTACTTATTTTAAGAGGCAACTGGACTTTCTGGGGTTTTTTTCTTTTTCTTTGAAGAGGTTTCGCTTCTCATCCAAGAAGCTTCTTCAGCTCTGACTGGATGGTGGAGAAGGGAAGGGGATCATAGCGGAAAGTGGTGAGAATTCTCCCCGCTGTAAATAATTCTCATCCCTGTAAATAATAAAAAGTAATAGGGGTTTTAGAAGTGAATAAGAACATTCCTACTAATGGAGAAAGCCTTCCCTTCCCGCTGTCAATCCATCTTGAAAGTGGTGAACAAAAAAAAAACTAAAACAAAAACCTGAATGTCAATCGACTTCCAAGTGGTTTCCCCAATGAGTCATCCAGAAAACAGAACCTTGGATTTAGCTAGGACTCTGTTTAATCCAGCAGGACCGGTTCTTACCTTTTATAATTGTATGTTGGGCAGTACTTGGATTTCCAGAATTACGTGCTGCGTGGATCTGTGCACGGCATCTCGGCCTTGGAACGGGCCATTACCCTGTTTAACAGCATCTCCCAGTGGGTGCAAGTGATGATACTCAAGCGTCCCACACCTCAGCAGCGAGCGGAAGTCTTCACCAAGTTCATCCACGTGACCCAGGTAAGGCGCTCGCTGGAAAGAAACAGAAATGGGGGGTGGCTTGAGCCTTGAAATGGGGGGGAAGAGACAAAAGGACGTTCCTGTTCCTTTCACGGTCACTCTGCCGAGACAAATGCCGATGAAGAAGCCCCTCAGGTTGTTTCTCCCGTGTTTCTAAAAGATGACATCCAGGTGAGCCTCCGGGTTTGAAAACGTGCTCCTGGGAAACGTCGAGGAGTCTTTCAAGAAGTCGGCTCTTTCCGCTTGCGATCGGTTTAAAGATCCTCGCTTGGATCGTCCTCTCGTTTCTTCTCCTGTTGCAGAAATTAAGGCAGCTGCAGAACTTCAACACGCTCATGGCAATCGTGGGAGGACTTTGCCACAGCACTATTGCTCGCCTCAAGGAGACCCATGCGCTTCTACCTTCCGAGGTCGCCAAGGTAAGGAAAGAGCCTTCCTGAGGACAAAGGAGAGGAGGAGGTTAGCCTCGGTGAGGTATCCCAAAGGTAGCCAGGTAGTAGTGAGGTAGCCACATGGGCCCGTATCGTCACTTCCGGTATTTCGAGAAGGCCCATTTTTCGGCCTCCGGAGGCCACAGAGGCTTCCCTCGAGCCTCCAGGAGGGCGAAAACGGCCTCAAACAACCCAAAAAATCAGCCTGGCTCTTGACTGCCTACAACAGGGCTCTCCAACTGTGGGGACTTTAAGACTTGTGAGCTTCAAGTCCTATGCTGGCTAGGGAATTCTGGGAGTTGAAGTCCACAGGTTTTAAATTTGCCAAGGTTGGAGACCCCAGGTCTACAGGATGCCAAGTCCCCGAAGAGCTGAGTGTTCTTTCAGGTATGGGATCTGGAGGTTGGGTGAGTCCATTAGTATAATTTTTTTCCCCTCAGCATGAGGTGGTTGTACAGGTAGGCCTCACCTTACGGCCACAATTGAGCCCAAAATTTGCTAACCAAGACAGTTGTTAAGTCAGTTGTGTCCTGTTTTACAATCTTTTTTTTTTTTTGGCCACAGCTAAGGGATTCTTAAGTTGTTAAGTGAATCATGGGGTCGTTAAGCAAATCATGCTACTCCCATGGATTTTGCTTGTCCGACGCCAAGAAAACGACGAATCCGTGAATCCATTTTGAAAGGGGTTCTTCAGAAAGGGCGGCTTGCTCGAGGGTTAAAATGAGATTTATACTTATTTTTCTGGACTTTTCTTTGCGCAGGTGCTGGCCGAAATGACCGAATTGCTCTCATCTAGTGGAAACTACGGGGCGTACCGTCGGGCCTACGCCGATTGCAAAGACTTCAAGATCCCCATTGTGGGAGTCCACCTCAAGGACCTGGTGACCTTACACGAAGCCCTCCCGGATCGTGTAGAGGGTGGACGTCTCAACCTGAGTAAGCTGCAGAGCCTCTACGAGCCGGTGTGGGAATTCCGGATGCGGCAACGGGCTCAGCTGCCCTTCGAAGCCAACAAGGACCTGGTGCATCTGTTGACGGTAAGGAAGATCCTTGGAGAACCCATGGAGACTACAGGAGGGTTGACGGGCAGGCTGAGGTGCAGGCAGTCCAGTGGTAGGTGGGTTGAAGGAAGTTCCCTTGGCTGCCTTTGAAGGAAATCAACTGGAGTCAAACCAAGGCACGGTTAATCCGGCTCCATGTTTGGAGAATATGGACTTTTCCCCTGCCACATTCATAGAATCATACGGCTAGAAGAGACCTTGGAGGTCTTCTAGTCCAACTCCCTGACCAAGGCTGTAGACCAGGGGTCTTCAAACTTGACAGCTTTAAGACTTGTGGACTTCAACCCCCAGAATTCCTCCTCCAGTTATGTTAGCTCAGGAATTCTGGGAGCTGAAGTCCACAAGTCTTAAAGTTGCCAAGGTTGAAGACTTCTGCTGTAGGAGGAAGTCCCCCCGAACAGCTTATCCAGGATGGGAGATGGGGGAACAGTTGTCGGTGGTAAAGCCGGCCTTGGGGGGGGGGGTCCCGATCCACTCAAGGGGGCTGCCCCCTTCTTTTTGGAGGTTCCAGGGCCGTTTGCTTTAGTAAGGATGGGGCAAAAGGAGAGGTGCTCTTTGGCCTTTGCTTTTGCTGTTCAACCACCTAGAACAGGGGGTGGGCAATTAATTTTCCCAAGAGGCCACATGAGAAATTGACACTGTTGTGGAGGACTAAACCAAGAGAGGGGTGAAGGTGCATAGGCAATGCATACATAGGTGAAGGGTAAAGATTCCCCTCGCACATCCATGCTAGTCATTTCTGGCTCTAGGGGGCGCTGGTGCTCGTCTCCGTTCCAAAACCGAGGAGCCAGCGCTGTCCGAAGACGTCTCCGTGGTCATGTGGCCGGCATGACTAAATGCCGGAGGTGCACAGAACACCGTTCCCTTCCCACCAAAGGGGTCCCTATTTTTCTACTTGCATTTTTTTTAAAATGTGCTTTCAAACTGCTAGGTTGGCAGAAGCTGGGACAAGGAACAGGAGCTCACTCCGTTACGCGGCGCTAGGGATTCGAACGGCCAAACTGCCAACCTTTCTGATCGACAAGCTCAGCGTCTTAGCCACTGAGCCGCCGCGCCTCCCAATGCATACATACACATATATAAGTTTAAAAACAAAATTCCTTCAAAATAAAAGCAATCCGTTCAAACCGGACAGGGATAAACAAAGGGCTGGATGCGGCCCGGTAATGCCCAGCTATGACCTGGAAGGAGCTCGATGTGCCCCAGCTGTCCATCATGAAGTCATCAGGATAGCAATGGTTCTTAGCCAACACTCATGGGATTTTGGGGTACTGGGTGTGTTTCCTTTGCCCTAAACTGCCTTCTTGCCTTCCAGCTCTCCTTGGACCTCTACTACACTGAGGAGGAAATCTACGCCCTCTCGTACTCTCGTGAACCTCGCTGCCTCAAAATGCTGGTAAGAGGAGGACAAAAGGCCCGAGGAAGGGCCGAGTCTTCCCTGTGAAGGCCCCGTTTCTTAAAGCTCTCTTCTCCCTTTTCCCCCTTCACAGCCATCCACCCAATTCAAGCCTCCGGTGGTCGTAGAGTGGGCGCCCAGAGTAGCCACCAAGCCGGACCGTCTTGCCGTCAAGAGGCATGTCCAGCAGATGGTGGAGGTAGGATGATCAAAGCAATCGAGGAAAGAGAACATACGTAGCTCAGGGTTGAACTGTGGGCGCCTGGGTGCCCTCTGGTCTTGCTGGTTTTCTTGCAGACGTTTCATGACCCCGCTAGGTAACATAATCAATGCTAGAAGGGAGAGGGGGTTTGCAGAGAGGAAGAACGGGAGGAGGAGGAGGAGGAGGAGGAGGAGGAGGAGGAGGAGGAGGAGGAGGAGGACTGAGGGATCCTTAGTACCTTTGAGCTTGATGATTTTCTTGCAGACATGTTACCCAGCTAGGTAACATCATCAGTACTAGGAGGGGGGTTGTGGAGTGGAGGAGGAGGAGGCCAATGATGACTGTGGGCTCCTTGGTGGCCTCTGAGCTTGGTGGTATACTTGCACACCTCTCATGACCCAGCTAGGTAACATCATCAGTGCTAGAAGGGAGAGGGGGTTTGCAGAGAGGAAGAATGGGAGGAGGAGGTCGATGACGACCGTAGAGTCCTTCGTTCTCTCTGAGCTTGGTGGTTTTTTTGCAGACGTTTCATCATCCACCTAGGTAACATCATCAGCTCTCTCTCAAACCCCATCTGTGGCACATCAGGGAGCCTGGCATTTTGCAGCACTACGGGCCCAATCTGTGCCAACCCCCCGCCCCCCCCCCAGCGGCCAAGTCCAGTTCCCGCTTTTCTCCTCCCCTTTTCCACCCAGCACCCCTCCCTTTCTGTTAAAGGAAGAAGCGCAAATCCGGCCACTCCGACCACATCCTCTTCTACAAATAAAACACGCTGCTGAAAACAAGGTTGCGCATGGCTAACAGAGAGAGAGAGCGACAGAGAGAGGAGAAAAGCAAACACCACCACCAGGGAACTTGCGGGGAGGGGGGATCCAAATCCAACCCGCCCCTCTCGAACAACTCATATTCCATATTGCTAAATGGCAGCTTAAAGCTGTGTTTCTCAACTTGGCAATTTTAAGTCATGTGGACTTCAACTCCCAGAATTCTCCAGCCAGCTTTGGTGGGAGAATTCTGGGAGTTGAAGTCCAAACATCCTTGCCGGCTGGACAATTCTAGGAGTTGATAGTCCAAATGTCTTTGCCAGCTGGAGAATTCTGGGAGTTGAAGCCCAAACATCTTTGCCGGCTGGAGAATTCTGCGAGTTGAAGTCCAGACATCCTTGCCGGCTAGAGAATTCTGCGAGTTGAAGTCCAAACGTCTTTGCCGGCTGGAGAATTCTGGGAGTTGAAGTCCAAACATCCTTGCCGGCTGGAGAATTCTG